AAGCTCAACATCAAAAAAACTAAGATCATGGCATCCAGCCCCATCACTCTTTGGCAAATAGAAGGGGAAGTCGTGGCAGACTGTGACAGCAGCCATGAAATTAAAAGACGCCTGCTCCTTGGGAGGAAAGCGATGGCGAACCTAAACAGCATGATAAAAAGTAGAGACATCACCCTGCCAACAAAAGTCCACATGGTCAAAGCAGTGGTATTCCCAGTAGTCATGCATGGCTGAGGGAGTTGGACTATAAGGAAGGCCGAGCACCGAAGAATAGATTCTTTTGAACTATGGTGCTGGAGAAGACTTGAGAGTCCCTTGGACTGCAAGAAGATCAAATCAGTCAATCCTAAAAGAAATCAACCCTGACCGTTCCTTGGAAGGCCAGATAATGAAACTGAAGGTCAAATACTTTGGCCACCAAATGAGAAGGGAGCACTCCCTGGAGAAGACCCTGATGCTGGGAAAGATTGAAGGTCAAAGAAGACGGGGACGACAAAGGATGAGATGGTTAGACAGTGTCATCGATGCAACGAACATGAAATTGAGCAAACTTCAGAGGACGGCGGAAGACAGGAGGGCCTGGCGGGAGCTGGTCCATGGGGTCGCGAAGAGTTGGACTCGAATGTGCAACTGAACAACAACAAAAATTTGCACCCCCTATATTCCGTTGAGTTTCGCCCCAGTCAAGTATGAAGAGGACTCCAGCCTAGGTCGTTTTATTAAGAGTTCCTTAAGTTTTACGGTGAGTGACACTGGACTCAAACGTTGTTCTGCTGATTCGGATCGGCACGGCTACCCACCTGAATGTATTTAAGTGGGAGATAGCTGGATATTCTTAAAATGATGCGCCTTTACATTTTAATTCAAAATGAAAGGTCGTTTGCTATGGCATCAGTGGACAGTCGGACAACCCAAACGTCCGTTCTGCGACTCTCATGTAATGTACCAAAACCGGCTTGCTGCAAACCGGAAATTACGATCATCCCAGAAGCGCGATGACTCGGGGAGCGCAGATTATAGACGTAAAGGAGACGACAAGGGAACGAGACTCCTGCCCCTCTTTCACGTACAGAGTTGGGCTGAGAGGACGGAGCAAGGCTTCGGCGCATGCTCGAAATTCGCCAGCAAGGAGGAGTTGGTGGGGGAAAATGGCGGACGGCAAAGCAGAGGATGTGAAGCTGAAGCGACCGCGACTTGACGGAGGTGAACACACTGCGTTGCTTTGCCCTCCCACCCACCCTTCCCTGCATGGGGGGCTCGAGGGATGCGTGTGGAGGGGATGAGGGCCCAGTCGAGGGGGTGCTGCGGGTCGGGCAGTGGCGTAGGCAGGCAGAGCTTGGGAGGAGGGGAGCGGGAGAGTCGCCAGACGTCCTTCGCAGCCCTCAAGGGCCTTGGGGCTGGTTGGCTTCCTGCGGGAGCGCATCCGTCTGTAGCTGGCATGGCGCCCCCACAGAAACAGAACCGCCATCTAGTGTTTCGGACGGTTTTGACGCGGTCCCGTCTGCGTGCGGAAAGTGCCGCGGCTTTCTGCTGGCTCGCCATAGCCCCCTAACTGACTGATGCGGGGCGATCTGGGTGTAAGGCCAAAAAGTAACAGCCTGAGTACGTTGAGTGATTTCATTTCTTTCACCTGAGGGTGGAGTTGAGGTGGTAAAAATGACTATCCCTTGCCCCAAGCTGGCTGCCTTAAAGGCCCGTATATATAACGTTATGTGACATGGCGGGATGGCAAATATCATTTTGCCTGAGATGCTGCGGTACAAATACATCAGAATATTGAAACACATATAAATGATTCTAGGCCATCTATGAGCCGATTTATGTCATTAACTTACTCCTTTTGACCATGAACAAATCTTTGTCCCTTGTTAGGCAACCAGTTGAACTAAAGTTGCCAAAGTTGCTAAGAACAAAGTTTGAGTCCAGTGACACCTTTAAGACCAACAGTTTTATTATGTGTATAAGGGTTTGTGTGCACGCATGCATCTTCAGATGCTACAGTTATCTTAAATTAATGTAAAATAGTAATGCTTGACTAAATGCTTGTGCAAGTGTAGTGTAACAGTAGCTTTTTGTCCTCTGGGGAAGCTGGTTTAAGAACACATTTACTGTGATGTGAGCTAGAGGCCCACTACCCTAGAGTCCACTTTGTAAGCTGTGCGATGTGTGCCACCAATAGGAAGAACATTCTCTCTTCAAGTGGTTCTCAGTTGTCAGTAAATTGGATCTTAATCTTACATTACTGTAGAAGCACTGGTGAAGTACAGAGGTGTTTGGGGATAAAGGACAACTGGAAAAATAAGATAGGTAGACCTTCTAAAATTACTGTGTAAGTAATATTATATTTTACTTTTGAAACTTACACAAAGCAAACGTGGAACTTCCCCAGGAGTTTTTGTCTTCTCCAAATAAAAGTGTTAATGTATTATTTTCAGGATGCAAAATGGTACATCTTTAGCATATATTTCAGAACTTCAGCATATACTTCAGAACTATACTGTTAGAAACCTGCTGTCATTAGTTGATGATCCAAGGTTTTCTCAGAATAGGTTGGCACGGCGTTTCTAAAAGATGGGGGGAGGGGCACAGAAAGATGGAGACAAAAGGAAGAAAAGTCCAGTTGTGTTTGCTGGTATACATGAGACCACAGAAAGTACAGGTTTTAAAGCTCAGCTACTCAGGGATTATAATGCTTTTTAAAAGGGGAGGGACTAGCTAGTAATTTTTTATGTACCCTGATACAATGTCAGGGAATCTCAGAAAAACATGGAGAGAAAACACAACAACAATTGTCTTTGGAGGATTTTGCAAGTAAATGTCAGCACCCCCACGCCCCCCAATTTGAGTTACAGCTTGTTAGAACTAAGCCACAACTTGTTTCTTTTGTTAGATGAGCCCACAAATATGTGGCCTCTGTTTATTTAAGGTGCTTTTTAACTTCATAACCATAAGCCATCAAATAAACTTAGTCGACAAGCAGTTTCCAAGCTGTTTTCTTGTGAAGCAGTTGCAGATTTGCAGTAAATACAAAAATCTGCATTAAAGTTCATTTGGTACCTTTTGCTATGATTCAGACTCTCAGAAAGGAAAAAGTAGAATGGAAGGAAATAAGAGGTTTTCCCAAAAACTACACTTGCAAGCCACTACAGATACTTTGTCGACTCTTGAGTTGTCTTCATTTAGTGGGTCTTGATTTCTGCATAACAAGCAAATAAAAGAGACCCCTTAAAAACTGTAGTACACAGACAAATTAACTGAACATGTCTAAATAATTTTTAAATCCTTTGGCCCTCCTCCCTCATTTTGGTGTTTGTGTTTTTAATGAATCATTTTATAATTTTAGATGTTGTTTTTAATTGTTCAGATGCTTTATGTTTGCTGCCTTGGAGACTCTGATTGGGTGGAAATGCGGCATAAAATTTTTAAAGTAAAATTAAAGGGCAAATCTGTTTAGTCAGAGGTTTTGCACTGCTATTAGCCACTCTGACCCATTAGGATGGGGCGGGCTGTAAATCTGAATAAATACATGAATTAGTCCTGTTATCTGGCTAAAACAATACATCCTGAAAGTAAGAACACTGGCATACTACATTGTTCAGTGGCTTGTTTTTATACTTCCATGTAGTGGAAAAGTGCATATAGATCAGATAAGTAATTTTGAAGAACTATTTAGATTTAATATATTTATTTTCTGCTGACAGAGTAAAGTTTTTTATTATATAACCAACCAGTTATATACAAATACTTCAGGTGATCACTGTTATTTGATTGGTTCCACTAAGTGAAAACTGCCACTGTTGGCTTACTTCTAATTTCATAATGGTGTCATGTGTTAGCACAGGTGAGACTAAGTACTTGGCCCCTGGTTCTGGCAGTAGCTAGGGGCAAGCCAGCAGCACAGAAAATCTTCTGTTGGCCATATACTATAGATGCAGCCATCTTCTAACAGAAACACAATGATCAGAGGAAAATGTCTCTCAGTATTCTTTAAAAAGTTGTTTGTTATTTTGAAACCATGACATATGTTTAGTAATTTTCAGGTCTCCCGATGTGGGACTTTCCTGCTTCCCCCTCCCACTGCAGCCCACTGAATCCTCTGAAATTTAGTTCATGGGGTCACTGGACCTTCAGGCTTTGCATTGGGAAGGAGGCAAATCAATGGAACTTGCTCCCGATCCCAGAACACTTACGTCTTTGCAGTGGTGTGGTTGAGTACATGTGGGGGGGGGGGGCAACCAACTTAACTATAAAATCTGTTGATTAGAGAATCTTTTTGTTTTAATAAAGCTAATCCTTTAAAAATTATTTTTATTTGAAATATTTGACTAGTCGATTACCTGGTTTTATCAGGAGCTTTTCCACATTTATTTATTTTATTTTTTTTGGTCAGTTTTGGCCCAATACTGCTTTGGTTTATCCCCTGATTTCTTCATGCATTTTTGGGCCCTTTTTGTTTTTCCTTCAGGTTTTTTCCCCCTGGCTCTTCTGAGACCACTTTTACCCTGATGTTTTTCTGGAATCTGATTTTGAGTCATCTTTTTCTTAGTTCATAAAGTTTCTGTTGGTTTTCTTTGTCTCACCCACCACCATCCCACATCATTGTTAAATCACTCCTTCTCCCCCAGGACAAGTGATTTAATTATTTTTAAAGGCCCCGAAATATTGCTATAACAAAAATGTAATGACAGTAAGCAGGTCCTCTGAATTCCCAACTGTCCATTAAAAAAGAAAGTAAGCCTCTAGCCCTTTCCGTCATGGAGATATAAGGAAGAAGGCTTTTCTCTGGGAGGGGACGGAGTAGAGACTTACCTTTTTAAAAAAATAAAAGCTAAGTCTCTAGCACTTTCCCTCATGGAGATATGCCTTTTTCCTTATATCAATCTAAGGGGAGAGGATAGAGACTTACTACTTTCTAAAATGAAAGATGAGAATTTCAAGAACTTGCTGAAGTTTCATTACAATACTACAGTTGTTATATTGATATTTTAGGTCTTTTTCTTAAAATAAAGGAGTGCTCTGTTGCCACTGATGACAGCAGCGCACTCCCTTGAAAATCTTAATTGTTTAAGCCACATGCGGAAGAAAATAAACTGACTCCACAATTGTCAGAATGCACAAGGCAGGCAGACATGCAGAAGAACTCTGCCCAAACTGATTCTAGCGCTTGTCGCTTGGCTCCCAATAAAATCAGAGTAACTTGAGCATGAGGAAAAGATCCAGGAGAGTGTCCTTAGAGCGTAGGCCACTTAAGAGCTTATCTGGCCGCATGCGTGTGCATGTGTGTGTGTGTTAAAGATGGGCATGAGCCAGAATAACTGACTCGTTAAAAGAAAAATCATGGCATACTCAAGGTTCTAGGCACATCTGAAGTAGCTTTTTTTAAAATCCCAGCTACTGTCCTAGATTGCTAAAAGGCCTCAGTTGATAAGGCGGCATACAAATATTTTAAATTAAGGAATTAACTAAAATGAATGCATGTATCATGGGTAGTTTCCCCCCTTGAAGCCAGTATTATTTTTTTTAATACAGGAATTTTACATAAAAATACAGTTTCACATTAACTTAGTTCATGCCACCAAACCTTGTTGAATACTTTAACTTTTCTCAAATTAAGAAATCTTAAAGACATTATGCATGCCAGGATGGTATGTAGTGAAGGTTGATTGTGACTTCATTTTTGCTTTTAATAACTCTTTCTGTGCCGAACAGTTCTATAAACTGACTAGAAGCTCCTCACTGTAAAACTCCACGTTAGTTATAATCATGAAACTGTGAAAGACCCCTGCATTGTCTTGTTTCTCTCTCTCCCCCCCCCAACATATGATTCCATGGTATCAAACTGAAACCGAGATAAAGCATGTTTTCTGTAGTATTCTTTTCAGAAATTTTGGGTCCATGCTTCCATCTCTGAGCACCCAAAATGGCTGCTGTACAAATGCTAAGGTATTACCTTAAAGACAACTTGTTGTCTCGTATGCTAAGCTTCTGAAATAACTGTTTCAGAAGGGTTGCTGTGTTAAAAAAGAGACAGAGTCCTACAGTAACTTCAGAACTAACCACTTCATTGTCATATAAGCCTTTATGGTTTAGAGAACTGTGCTGCAGCTAACAACTTAAGTTACTGATCTGGGATAGTCCAGTGGTAATACAAATGGGAATTCTTCAGAGGTAGACTTTGAGTGTGTAGTCAATGAGCTTTCTCTGGATTCAGATCAAGATGGGTAGCCGTGTTAGTTTTTCTGTAGCAGTAGAATAGAGTAAGAGTCCATTAGCACCTTAAAGACTAAGAAAATCTGTGGCAGGGTGGGAGCGTCCGTGAGTCACTGCTCACTTCTTCAGATACAGCTAGAATGTGAATCCATCTGTCCTACATATTAGAAAGTGGAGTGATATTAGATGCCAAATGATATCAGCAAACAAATGACAATAGCAGGTGTGATTGGATTAGGTATGATCTGCACAGAGGTTGTAGGCACGGAGAAATCAGCATTGGTAATGAGACAGAAAACCTCGGTCTTGATTCAGTCCAGGTGGATGCATTGTCTTGAGCTTTGTTATCAGTTGCAATTCAGCAGTCTCTCTAATCTCTCTTTTAAATTCCTTTGTAAAATAATTGCTAAAGTAGATTAGAAAGAGAGATTGCTGAATTGCAACTGATAACAAAGCTCAAAACAACGCATCCACCTGGACTGAATTGAGACCGAGGTTTCCTGTCCCATTACCAGTGCTGATTTCTTCGTGCCTACTACTCTGCATATTACAACTAGTCCAATCACACCTGCTATTGTCATTTGCCTTCTGATGTCATCTGGCTTCTGAAATCACTCCACTTTCCAGTATATAGGACAGATGGACTCACATTCTAGCTGTATCTGAAGAAGCAAATAGTGACTCACAAAAGCTCGTACCCTACCACAAATTTAATTAGCTTTCTCTGATATGAATGGTCTTTGCAGTCACTGTAGAGGTGTCATAAGGCTCCAGGATGCTTAGGTTCAATAGTTCTATGTGTAACTGAATATTTATGTTCTGCACTAGTTACATGATTGGAGCTTCTTTCACTGTATGTCTATATTCTTACAGTGTGCTCTGTATAAACAGTTGTGGAGGCGCTGACACTGTAAGTGCAAAAGTCTCCTCTTCATAACAGTGCTTTATGAGGTTGCTGCTCCCATCAGTCCACTCAGTAAAAATAGCTCATCTTGGTAAGTTGTTTCGACTTCACCAGGACCTGAAGAAGAGGCAGAAAAACCTGTGAAAACTAAGACTGTTTCTTCCAGTAATGGAGGGGAAAGTTCGAGTCGCAGCGTGGAGAAACGGGCAGCTGATGAAGAAACTGAAGACTTCACCACAAAGCCTGCTCCTGCCAAAATGTCCAAGTTTGGGTTTGCCATAGGCACACAGATTGCAAAGAAACCACCTGCAATATCCATCAAACTTGGAGCAAATGTAAGCAGCCTGTAGGCTCTCTTACGAATGATAAATATGTAGTCTTGTTGCTAAAAGGGGAGTTAGTTAAGTTGCCTTATTTAAATTGTCCATAAATATTTATAGTCATTTACTGTCACAAAGGTCTAAGAAATAATATTCTGGACAATGTTAGTAGGCATGAAATTGGCTTGAAATACTGAGAAATTGATCCACCCCACCCCCCCACACACATACTCTTTTGTGTTGGTTTAAGGGAATATAAAATAGCATAAGTATTGGCTTGGATCCCACCTCCTAGATGTCCATGGATATATGAAAGGAGGGCAGTCCCCCCCTCCCGGAGAACTCCAGTTCTCCTTCTAAGCTATTCCTTGGGGTTTTCTGTCCCCCAGAGTAAGCATTTTGTGGTATGTTTTGTGCTTTTGAGGATGAAGGAATTGACAAGAGTTGCCCCTTCCCCTTTTACCCACAAAGTTCCAGACAGGATCCAAGCCAGTAACTAACTTCTAGCAAAATATGACTATAGTTCTATTCTGTCCTTGTCAAAGAAACACAAAGTATTTATGCTTAATACTTAAGGTGTGATTAAATGTACAAGGATTTATTGGCCAGAATCCAAATAGTTTCTTAGGCTTATATCTGGGTCTTGCAGTTAGGCAAGCTCAATTGGCTTTGAAAGTTGGACATGCCATATTAAAAAGTGACTTCCCCAGCTTCAGAGTTGATTGCTATGAAGCAGGGAAGGCCTGATTTTCAAGAGCACTCTTTATGCCCAGGGAACTAACTGGCTTAATGGTGACTTAGATCTAGGCTGTTATTTACTAAGGTGACCAATCTACCAGGCTTATTTTTTATGAATCTGAAATGTCGTAATATCATAAGAGGAGCAATGTGCTTTAAGTTATTGGACTGTGTTTATATCTTGTTGCTCAAATAATTGTAGCCTTGTTGCTTTTTAGAAACCTAAAGAGCCTACTACAACCCTTGCTCCAAAAACCCTTTCTGTAGCAGCAATCTTCAATGAAGATGAAGATGTAAGTAAATATAGCCTCATTGAATGGGGGAAAAAACTTTATTGCTTTTTCTGACTAGAATTATGTTCTGAGAAGTGGGAGTTTCATAAATATACTATTGATGTATTGCTACTCAGAACTGGTCCAAGTTTCTTCTAAAACACCAGATGTGTAAGTGTCCTCTTGTGGTCTTAGAGTAATTTTAAGCCATTGATTAACTCTGAATTTAGCATTTCCCTATGCCTAGTATGTTATAAGACTACAGAGTACCTGGCCATTCATTTATCTTAATGACCTTTTTAAAAATGGTGTAATGAATTTTTAGTATTTTCAGTCTTCTGTAAATATATTAATACTCTCAGTAAAACACCATAGTTGCCCATTAGCTGTAGGGTTCAAGAAGTATGAACACTGTAGAATTTTTTTAACGAGAAGAGTATGATATTGGCGATATCAGCGACAGCTTTGTGTTTGAGGAGCATGGGGCAACCACATTCATTACTAGGATTAAATCAAAAGGTCCACTTATCTACTGATGCAGACCCACTGTGCTCCCCAAAATATTGCTTTGATGAGAAGCATGTTGGGGGATCCCAGGAACAGCATGAGGTATGATGTGGGGGTCTGCACTGGAAGAAGGGAATTGGCAACAGTTGCCTCCCCTTCTGTGAATGGGTAGTCTTTGTTCACAGAAGAAACCTTTGGATCTAACCAGCATAGGGTTAACATAGGAATATATGTGATGATTCAAATGAAGATGAAAATGTGGTTGTTGGCCGCTTGTCTTTTTGTCAGGATTTTCAAGGAAATTGTATTCTGGCCTTCTAAAATGGTGTGGCTGGTGGTGTTTTAGGGGAGGATAAAGGAAAATAAAGCTTTAAAAGCTAACTTCCTTTAATTTTTACAATACTGAGAACTCAGATGAAAATTAATTTGGTAGCAAAGTTAATGCTTTGTGTGCTCGTTCTAAGAGCCATCTAGAAGTCAAAGGGAAATCCATGTGATCTTGTGTCCATTGGTTCTCTCACACAGCAATAGTGGGTCTATTTTCTATAAAAGAAAGATTGCACAATCCCCTTACTACTGCTTGCTCTGAAGCATTTTTTCTCAGCTCAGCTTCTCTACTGGAAGCAAGCTGGATTGGAAGGAAAGTGAAGAGGGAACCCCTCCTGCATTTCGAATGTGAACTAGGGAACATGAATCAGTCCCCCTTTTCTTTGTCATGTCTCGTTTCGTCCTGGGTTTCACTAGAGCAATGAAATAACCTCTGCTGAGTTGTACAAAGTAGGTTATAGTTTCCTTCAACATTCTTTCCAAAAATATATTTTCAGTATTTATTGGATATTGCAGCTGTTTGGAGTTCTGTTTCAAACATGGTGTCATACCTGGTGGGCACAAGCCAGATTTTAAACTGCTTGGCTGAGCCTACGAAGGAAAATATTGATCAGGATGGGCAGTATGGAGGTGGCGGATTTCCTTGTTCTTCTCTGACTGTCCACAGCAGTAATAGGTATGTCTTCAGACCCAGATGCTTGAGAAATCACTGCAGCTTGCAAGTGATTTCTGCTAGACTCTACAAGGAATAGGGTCTTTCTAATAGCTATGGGGACCTTCCTTTAGTTTCTAACCCTACACCTGAAACTACACTATTGAAATATGCAGAAGTGTCTCTCTTGGAGCTTAACTGATTGTATTTTAATACAATGTGATGGGCAGACTTTCATACTGTAGAAATGTTAATGAAGCACGAAAACTGTTTAGAGCTGTTACAGAGTATATTTGTGCCTGTTTACTTCTCAATGCTAATACAAAGTTTTCTTCAAGTGTAAATTATATGAGGGGTATAATGCATTCACTGAGGCATTGGTCTCTGATTTTATGGGCAACTGACTTTTTTTAGACACCTGTTACACCTCTTGCCCTTTTCCCAGGGAGCTTAGGACAGTGCCCACGGTTCTGTTGTCCTCCGTTCTGTTATCACAACAATCCTATGAAATTGGTCTAAGAGAGAGGTTACTGGTTTGATTTTCCAAGTGAGCATCATAGAGGATTGTGGATTGAAAAATCTGGATCTTTCAAGTCCTAACCTGTATCTAACCTCTATTCCACACTGACTCTCACTAGCTTGACTACACAGGAATGGAATTTGTTACTTTCTTTCATTTTTTCCCCAGAGTGAGCCTGAAGAGATGCCTCCAGAAGCAAAAATGCGAATGAAGAACATTGGAAGGTAGAGTAGCTCTAAAGAAAAATAGGGAAACGTTGTCCAACATGTGGGTGGTTTAGGAGTATATAGAAGGTGAACAATTAGTGAGTTCTATATAGTTTTGGATTTGCCAAATAATAAAAGTTGTGATAGCTTTTCTGCTAAAGCTGCAATAGTTTCAATGTTGGAAAGTTGTTTGGCATCTTGATATTATTTGTGGGTTTCCCCCCATTTTTTCTTACTGAATTCTCTGCTTTCTGATTATTTTTAGTACAATATATTCAAAACTAATAACATAATTTTGGAGGCTAATTTTGATATGTGACTGTTCATTTTGGAGAGAGATCTCTCTTTTCCCCTCCCCTTACATGAGCTGAAGTGCTTTTTGGCGGTCCCCTGTAACAACATCCCATACTGTTTCTGGGAGTGACTTTTTAAGGGGCTGCTGAAGGAATAGAAGGTGGGAAAGATCTGCTCATGATTTACTGGGTCCCACCTGTAACTTTTATCATATATAGGTTATTTTAAACCCCTGAAGGGGTATTTTTATTGTTCTTCAGTATACAAAACTACAAAGAAAAAATTGGGAAGGGACTACATCTATGGATAAAGGAAAGATACCCACACTAACTAAAAACCCAAGAGTGAGAGATCATATCCCAGTTAAACTGTTAGTATTACATTTGTTAATAAGACGATATACTTGTAGAGTTCTTGCTTTGCACTGCTTCTATGTTAGTAAATTAGTTATCTTGAGAAGACTTTCTGAGCATCTTCATTTCTTCAAAGAGCAATTTTCAGAGTCCTTCTGCCCTTACTTTGGCTTTCTGTCTCTAAAATCATACACAGTTTTCGTCACACCCATAGTCGCTTCAGTCGCAGAGTCCTCGTCCGATCCAGAGGTTGCTGAGTCACTTGACTTGGTTTCTTCCTCCTTAGATTCTTCCCCCGTTCCCATCTGGCATCTCAAGAATTCCTTGGCTTTAAAAATGGAATCAATCTTCTCTCTTTTATTGTTGATTTTAAAGATGACACCCTCGGGGATCCCCCACCTGTACTGAATTCCGTTGGTTTGAAGAAAAGAAATTAAATCCTTGTAGGTTTTCCTTTTTTGACGAATTTCAATGAAGTCTTAATAATTGTATTTCCCAGTTTCAGTGGGGTTGCTGAAGTTGCTTTTAATCTCTGGTCTGTCTTCTTGCAAATCTTACCACAATCTCTCCAGGCAGGCTATTTTTTTAAATATAATTGGAGTATGCCCTATAGACAGTCTCCATATGTTTTACTATTTCTTCCGCTGATAAGCCTGTAACTGGAGCAATAGAGTCTCCTTCAAATCTTTTTCGGTTTCAGGAACCCCCTGGAACCTAAGAATCATGTTAGCCTTTTCCATTTGGAGCTGTAACAAGCGATTTTCTTGAAGGTTTTGCCGTATTTCAACTTCTCCCACTCTTTTCTTCAACTTTTTATTACCGGTGTCCATCTCTACTATTTTTTCTGTTACTTGTTCCACTTTCTTGTCTGTTTCTGCCAACTGACGCTGCTGTAAAGCGAAGTTTTGATTCAACGAGGTCAGCTGGTGGTTAATACCATCGAGTTGCTCTACCACCGGCTTTAGCATATCCGTTAGCAGCTTCATGATGTCAGTTCCCTCCTCTGGCCTCAGGCTCTGACTACCCGGTTTCGGTTTTAACTTTCCTCGTGTCGTCGCCATTTTTCCAATTTGTTTACAAATTTAAACCATTATGCAAAGGCTCGAAGGGCTCATCGTTTCGCTGCAGGCACTCAGATAAGTCTCTCAAAACAAATCGCTGTTTGCTTCCCCCCTCTCCCCCTTCGCTTTGCTTGACTCTTTATGCGCATAGGAGGCGTCCCTCTATTCTCTGGCAAATAGCCGTCGAAGAGGCTAACCCTCAAAAGCCCTCTGGCTTGGAGCCCTTCTCGAGAGCTCCGTGGAGGTGCCACTTGAGGTGGCACCCCTCCATGTCGCTGGTGTGCTAATCGCTCCTCTGCGGGTCGGAGAGAGCGACCGCCATCGCTAGTGCACTTCCGGTTCTCCGATCATATCTGTTTTTTGAAACAAACTGTAGAATGTGTTGGCTGAGTAATACCTTTTCTTGACACATTTTTTTTTTTAAAAACCAATATATTTATTGGTTTTTAGCACTTATAAACCTATATCATATACATATAAACAAGGAACACCAACAATATTACATAGGAAAAAACCCCTAAGATAGCAATTTTTCATTTCAGCAACACAGGTTAATAGAAAAACTAGACAACAAATTAATATTTTGTTCTTATGTCCTACATTTAGGTCACTTCTATATTTGAGTAGCTAATTCTATCTCAGTTTCCTTTGAAATTTAAATATTACATTCTCCAAAGGTACACTGTCAGTTCATATTAATAATATAAGGTCTTCGTAGTTACTGTTTATAATCATCTTCCAGTAGTCTGTCCATTCTTAGCTTTTAGTATAGGTACAGGGTTTAATATTACAATTTAAAAAAAATTAAACTTTTATCAGAATTAATTAGAACTTAATTACATCATCGTGACACAATACTACAGTACCATACGATCAAACAATTATTCATTCATATTCTAACTGCTCCTATTATATTAACAATTACTCCACTAATCTGCCAATTCATTGTTTTAACTTTGAAGTTCAAATTATCACTAAAAAAACATATTAGACTATCATTAATCACCATTTAACATGATTAAACATAATTACATATCACCATTTAACATGATTAAACATAATTAAACAATTAAACATCCCTATTATTGCCAACTTTTATCTTTCAAATATACATGTTAACACTTTCTTATCCACCTTTAATTTACTGCAAGGAGGGAAGAATGGAGGGAGAAAAACAATTATATATGTGTGTGTGTGTGTGATATAACTTTTTACTTTTTTTAAACCATTTTTTCCAGCTAAACATTCTTATATATTTTACTTTTTCTAACAATTTATTAAGACCCTTATACTAATTTTTTACTTGATGGTTCGAATTATCACTCAAAATCCTCTTAAATTATTATTAAAATTAATTACAACTTAACCATAAAGTTCTAACATAAGTAAACATAATTAAACACCTCTGCACAGTTTAGCCTCCCTATTACTACCACACCTTTTTACTTTAAATTACACATAATAATGCTTTCTTAATCACCATTGTTATATATCAAAAATAATAATAATTAAGGTCCTTTTTTCCAGCTAGGCATATATCAGAAGAAAACCAATCACTTCACATCACTATATAACTTCTTTTTCCTCCTACACATCTGTAATCTATTTTTCTGACACAACATTTCTACATACCTTCTACCTTTATGTGTGAACTGGTTTCCTAATCTCCCCCCACTAGTCTTGACTAAGGTTGCCAAGTCTTAATTTAGTCGCAGCAGGGGACTCCCGGCTTTCTCCGTGAGCGCGCGCGCCACGAGCACGTCACCCAGAAGTGACGCAGCCGCGTCGGGTGCGCCAGGGGCGGGGATGCGGTCATCCGAGGGAAAAACATAGTCACTTCCAAGTGACGTGCTGACGCCAGGCACGTCCCATGCTTTGGGGGAGGGGTTCTCCCTTGGGCCCGATCCGCCGGCGGTGGGGAACGGGCCTCTGGGGTGGGGGTTTCCCTGCCCCCCGGGGGGACTTGGCAAGCCTAGTCTTGACACATTTCTTAATGAGATTTCTTTTTAGTGCTGATTGCCTGACAGCTTGTCCAAATTCAGTGTTTTTAATTACATTGCAACTATGCACTTTTTCATTATATTATCTGTGTTGCAACACAGAAGTATTAGGAATCATACAACGAAGCATGCTGTATGTAATAAACTTCTAAAGGTACCTTTTGGTGGTTGTAGATGGCATATGGACATCCTTCATTATGTGTACTCAAGCTTGTAAACCATGAATGGGAAACTTAATAACATTACCCAATTACTATTGTTCTTTTATCATAGGGATACTCCTTTTTTTAGCAGGACCAAATTCTTTCAACAAAGGCAAGCATGGATTTTCTGACAACCAGAAACTATGGGAACGGAACATAAAAAGTCACCTTGGAAATGTTCGTGAACAAGATGAATAAGTTGTGTATTGAAATTTGGATGTTGGGGAAATGGGAGGGTGTGACATAAAGGAACAATTTCCTTTTTTAGAGCGGTATAAGGCTATTTTGGGTACCACTTTTAAAGTTTCTAGTGGTGCACAAAAAACTACGTTTAAAAGTAGAGGTAATTTATGTTTTGTATACAGATTTCAAAGCATTTGCTAATTTTGTAGCTCCATGCAATTAATTTCACAAGGTTATGGAAAATAAAGTCATTGGAAGTGGTACCTTTTTAAGAATTTTCTTTTACAACTATTCTTACATGAAGACAGGCAAAAGGTTACTGTCTCTTGAATCAGTTTAAGTTATATACTACTGCACTGAGATGTCCAGCAGCAACTCCTCTGTAATGAGTGACCTGCTTGTTTCCCTCAGGCTACATAGAGGGGGAACATGATGCAGTAGACCAAGTCTTGCCAGGCTGTTTATCATTCTAGACTGCATACAAACCTGAAAACTAGGCTATAGCTATAGTCATTTAGTTAAACCTCCCGCAAACTTGGACTTCTGGCTGTGGTAGCTTAGCTCTATAATCTCATTTTGAAACTTGTGTAATCTCTCTGTGGCCTGTTTCACTCTTAGAAATGGGTCTTGCGTATGTATAATGAAGATTCACAACAAAGGTTAACCAGTATTTTTATGTCCCCTTAATCATGAGTCTTGACCAGTGCTTGTTAATGTTTCTTTGTCAGTTCAAGACAAATTAATGCAATGATTATCAACATAAAAAGACATTACCAAAAGTATGGCTTTGTAGTTTATCATGTTATCTTAGTTTGGTTTCAGTATTTTCCGCAGTTCTTTAAGGGGAATAGAAGCTACATACTTAAGTAAACGAATAACCAGTTATTGAAGTGCAGATTTAGCAATGTGTGGTCATATTTTTATGACATAAAATTCTACTTTGGACTCAAAGAATTTTATTTTTAATTAAGACACTATCACACTAAAATACAACCTTTTATGCCACTTTAATTCTAATTCCAGTAATTGCTTTTTAGTATTAAATTTAACCTTTCACTTTATCTCTGGCTGATTACATCTAGTTTGGCTGGATCAGTGGTAGGCCATCTTTTTTTTTCTTAGTGGTTTTATGAAAGAGGTTGTAATATTACTTCCATCTTAGTCCTGATCCTGCCTACAAACTTAAACTACATTTAAGAACTTGTTTAAGCAGAACTGAATTATTTTAGGTAGTATCAGCAGTCACTACTGACAGGTCTCGTGGAAACAAGCACTTCCAAAATTACTTAATAGTGTGGACCTGAATTATCTAGTAGTATGTGGCAAAATTGGGTCCTGCTAGACTGGATATCAGAAACTTATTCCAGTTCACCTGCCATCTTTTAAGTCAACCCATTGTATACAAATGGAGGGTAGCTGGTGGAACAAAACGTCATCCGAGTTTTGTTTGTCGTCTTTTTTTTTTTTTTGCATTTTTAGAAGAACTTTGACCTTGTAGGCTTCTCTGTATAAGTTCTAAACATTTTTTAAAATTCTTGTATTTGTATGTGAATTTTTTGTCTGAAGTTAAAAAAACAACCCTGTAACATAATTTCTTTAAAAGCTTTGTTACAAACATTAGAAATGTAAACGTTATTTCTTTTATAATTGAAGTTGTTCAAATATTTGTGAAAGTTCAAGAGTTCAAAAAATATGTTGAGTCTGATCGTGTTGGCTCTTTCTCATTGAAACCAGTGGTCCAAAGCCATTGGTTTGGATCCTGTGGTAGTCTGCTGCAAGCTTAAGGTTGTATTCCGTGAAGGAGGAACATATGATTTCATTAACTCTACCCCTCCATATCATGCCTATTGCTCTTAGAGATGTTCCATGAATCCCAGGGGCATTTTGGTGAGTATAGCAGAATACACTGGGAGGAAAGACATTGTCATTAATATCCACTTCATAGGCCTGAAAAAAGAATTTGCACCTTTCTAAAAAAACAGTTTTGGATGATCAGTAGTTAGGAGTTTCTCAGCTAGGGGCACTTGCTTCCCTCTAATGAATTTAGCAGGTTTGCTTTCAATACTCTGAACGCACAAAACACTAAAACAGTAGTATTCAAGCCTGTAATATGCTAACCTCTTAGGCCTTTATGCTTCATAACAACTCTTCAGGTAAGGAAGAAGGCTTGAGTCTCTTCCATTTCAAATAAGTTGAGTGAGTACTTTCTTTAACTTTTATTGTAGTGATACTGTATGTTCTTTGGGTGAACTACTTAAGTTAGTGGTTAAGTATAAAAATTTGTCAAGACAATATTCCATGTCAAATTAATGTTCTTAAATGTAATGGCTTTGTGCCATATATTTCATGGGCACCAAAATCTTGTTTATGGCAAATTTGTATGGTAGCCTGTATGGTAACCAGTTGCAAGTAGGTAATACAACTGTGTCTATAATCAAAGTATTTTTCTGATGACAATTCCTGTGCTGTTTCAGGAAACAGAGAATGTGTTTCTTGATGCCATTTGCAAGGTGTGTTTATATAGTAGAGGTACCAAGCATTCAAACCTTCAAAATATTTTTCTTAAAGAAATGTTCTTGTTTACCTTCATTATAGGTGGCTGCAATCCCTGCCCATCTGTAATGGAAAATTTACCACCATCAGATGAACTTTACAGTGACCAAAATCTGATCTGTTTTACCAGTATGACTTCCAGTATATAACTATCTTTCAAACAGTGTTCTGGGGAATTTTCTGAATGAGAACAATAATTGCAAACTTCCCTGAAAGACATCACTTACATACCTCCTGCAACCATAGGAAAGTGTTAATGTGCATTTTAGATTTCATTCCTGTTCCCTTTCATGTGGTAGGACAGCAGTGAGGCCCAACAGGTTTCCCTGCCCCCAAACCGACCAGTCCATAATATACTTCAATTTCCTCAGCTGTCCCAGACTAGCCAATGTACTTGGGTAGAGGAACTGTTTGCATACTTGTTGCAAACAGCTTCAGATGTTTTCAATCCTCTCCTGTAAAATACTTCAGATTTTCAATCTCTGGAAAGCATGTCTGGAGCTGATCTTTTTGTATTTAGTCTGCTGCTATATGTTGAGTATATATTCCATACTTTGACTTTGATGTTGTTACTCTTAGGAAGACAAAATCATCTGCCTTAAAATAGCTTTTTCCATCAAGAAAGTATTGATAGGAGAATCTACAGTAGAGCACTTAATATTTTTGTAAGAAATTTAGAAATTGTTTAACATTTGTTGTGCTGTTCTAGCAAATGGGATTACATAAGAGCAACTTCTTTTTTTTTAACAATATTTTTATTATGGTTTTCTAAACAAAATTCCAACATACAGCTATTTCAAACACTTCTTCCCAGATGAGCATACAGCCTCATTTCATATCAACTCTATATACAAAACATATTCCTATCCCGTCACCGTCAGTTTCCACATATACAGTTTCTTCCAATTGTCTTTGAAAAATTTTTCCTCCTTCCCTTTTAGTAAACATGAAATTTTATCCATTTACGCAATTTCAAATAGCTTTTGAATGATCTCTATCTTTTCCGGGATTCTCTCTGTCTTCCAATATTTGGCAAATATAATTCTCGCTGCCATTAAACAGTGTATCAATAGATACTTCTCCACTCTCCCGTACGTCTCTGGGATCATATTCTGTATTTCTGTTATCTTCTTGCTTTTCTGAAAACTGGGTATATACACT